ATGTATCCAAATGCAGGTCAAATGTCGTTGAGCAGACTCTCGTCACATGCGCAACTGCTGTCTGAAAGTACTACACATATTCTCATGGGTACTTTTAATTTGATTAGAGAGCTTTGAAAACAGGCCACAGCAGTGTTTCACATTAGTAATCAAAATGACATTAAATACCAAAAAAATGTTCTTAAAAAAATCCAAAACTTGGTAGACCGTCAAGTGAGCTCAAAGAACGTGATTGTGTTACTTGCTGAACACAATTTGTGCCAGTACTTTTTTAAAATCACCAGAACAAATATTAAAGCAATGGTCTTGTTAGCACATTAATTATGTTTTTTACTCAAACAAGTACAACAGTGTAATTTTATGATTATTCCTATTAAATGTTCTATAACAAGAAGCTGGTGAGCCTGAATGCTATCATTCAGCAATCAGATGACATAAAGTGTAAACTGACAGGGGTAGAGGACAGTGGGTTTCTGATATGCACGCAAGTTGTTACACCATTGCTTTTTTGGATAAGTTATTAAAAATCAGCATATATATTGTGGTATTGAAGATATTGGAAATAGTAAGTGTTTTGAGACAAATAACAGAATATATTCAGCTGCCTATCTAGCCAAACTGGCTACAACAGCAGCTTGGACTGCAGCTGGTGATAGTAGTCAGCCAGTTCATCATGCTCAGATTGCTCCAGGTTCTAGCTGGAATTCTGCTGTTCTGTGCAGCAGAACAAGGACTACTTTATACTTTCTCATGAAATTATATATTAGTTCTTGAAATTCTTACCTTATGCTACATATTGCTATATGTAAAAGCCAAAGTTGTGGTCAGGGGCTTAAAAAACACTGTCTCATGTGCAACACTCTTCTTAGGTAAACATGTCTGTCATCAGCGCCGCAAAGAGGTCTAAATACTTCTACTCTGCTGGCCCTGTGTGTGTATTTGACAGGTGTAAGTAAAGCAAATGCCAACTAGATGGAAAATCAGCCACCCGATCTGATAATTGGCAAAAAGCAATATATGCTCTTCAGCCAATCACACAAATACAACATCCTTCAGCTTCAAAGAACAAAGCATCATATGACCATCTACCAAGCACAAAAAGAGGACAACAACAATAAAGCAAACTGTTACGCTTACATTGTCTGGAGAGTTTCTGTCTGGTGAAGGTGCATCAAGTTGGCTGGAGCCCTTCACCTTTCTCTTCTTCTTGGCTCCACCTCCTTTTTCTCCTCCTACACTAGCAGGGGAGCTCTTCTGTTGAAATTCCTTCAGCTGAGTAGGAAATGGAGAAGAAACCCATAAACGTGTGCAGATGAACAATGTCTACTAATATATGTTTATTTTGTCACGTCTTACACAGATAATACCAGGACTCTGCAACTGTCCCCAACTATACATATTAATTCAAACAAATTACACTCAACACCTCGAGCGTCGTATCAAGCTGAATGAATGAGGCAATAAAATACGAATTCAGTGCTCCTATTCCAAAACAATGCACCAGCTAGCAGAAAGATCCGGCTTCAGACGGATGAAGTTAGTAAATTGTGCTAAACAATGATAACCTGCGTATGATATGCATATGACGGTTAAAGCATGCCAGAAGGCTCTATGCGGGCTCTAACAGCTGTCTAACGGGAACTGCTGGTTGTTGTTTTTTTAACAGTAAAGCTAAATAGCAGCAAAATGACATGTCACCATGACCACTTCTTCGTGAAGCTTGTGGGCCAGCAAGAAATGCTGAGGAGTGACTTCTCGAATCTGATAAGGCCATCTTTCTGACTAGCCGAAAAAGACACCAAGCCAAAGCACACAGCAGGACAGGGAAGAGGGGTGTCAGCTGTCAAAACACCCCCGTCAGTCCATCCAGCTAACTGTGCTGCAGGGGTAGCTTACAAGCTCAATGAGTGCTTTGTTTTAAAACTACCGTTTGTTAGACATTTTCTTATGAAATTAAATTCTGCAGATAACATAAAAAGCTGGCTGCTGTGCGACATTCCTTAGACTCACACGTAGCCATATATTCATCAGCTAGTTAGCTAGCTTGCTAACGTTAACTTGCCTGGGTTAGCACGTTAGGCTTTAACTACATTTAAATGTCAGCTGGAAAGTCAAGTAAAGCGGCCAAGCAAGTGGTGCAAGTTAATCTGCGAGTAAATAAACAGCGTGGGATACTATGCGTGTCTCTACTAACTAAAAATAGTCTACATAATCTGGGAAAGTTAATGCTATCACCAGAGGCCCCGATAAAACATCGGTCTCTCCTACGCAACAGAGCCGCGAGAGGAGCGGAGGAGGTCGGACAAGCGACAGTGCAGTACTCGGGCGACGTGTAATGACAACACCCTTGCCCCGTAAAAAATATACATAACGAAAAGACAATAAAATAGAGTCAACACAGACTTGTGTACACAAAGTAGGAACTACACTTTCCGCGATATGTAACTGCGTTGATTGTAAAATACTTTACCTTTTTCTTAGCTGCAGCGAGTTTTATTTGCCTACTCTGGTCGGCCATCCTGCTGCTCTGGTGGTCAACTGAGCGATCCACGTCATCAGCTTGGCGCTCATACGCGTCTCAGCCAGTAGGTGGCGCAGAGCTCAAGTTGTGCCCTCATCATAGCATAAAACATCTTTATACCGCTTATGGCCGTGAGCCTACAACCTCACATAAATTAGCCTCAAACATGTTTTCTTTCTTTTGTTATATATAATATATAAAGTATTATTTTCGACAGAGTTTACGACAACATGTATTAACATTTTTGTTATGTGGTTGTCAGTTGCTCTCATTGTCTGTAGTTGTTGCTACTTTACATTTGTGTTTCTCTATAATTAAGATAAATATAGTCTATTATTTTGAAGGTTACATTCATTACAAAAAGAGAAATGTACCGTATCTTATTATATATTTTGAAAAATTACTTTTGTCTTTCAATTTCTTTTTGTTATATGTAAATTTACCACGGATGTAATGAAGTGTAGTACTGTGGAAAAAGTCTTGATCCTACCTTACATAAAAGAAAATATGGCAAATAAGGGAAATTCTAACAATTCTGTACAAACAAGCTTGAAAGTCTCTCTTTGGAATGACCACCTTTATTCTTCCACACAGTCAAAACGCTCTTAGGCTGATTTCTTGTCATTCCTTTAAATAGTCTTAAAGAATAGTTCTCCAGACTCCTTAAGGGACATTCAAACTATTTACAAACAAATATGAGAAAAAAAAACTCTACAGAATGTCAATCTATTAATTCATATTAATAGAAAGCGTATCAGAAAGGGGTTTCCATACAACAAACACAAGGCGAAAACAATGCCAGTAGTCGTTACATTGTAATAACCTGTATGAAGGGCTATACTGATCACTTCCTCCTTGATTTAGCAACATGGCTCCTCCTAGTGTTAATTATGATATCAACTCTCTCGCTCTCTCTCTCTCTTTTTTTTAATTTATTTATTTTTACCAGATTTAACAGTCCAAGTAAAAAGTTTAATTGTATTCAAAGAAAATTACACATTTAACTCAGAATTTTCCATCTGGTTTGTTTCACTGCCCTGTGTAGTTTAAGTCTTAATGAGTCATCACTGTCTTTCAAGTCTACAGGTCAGTTTTGCTTTTGTTTGTAACACAAAGAAAGTAGATATGAATGACACAAATAGTAAGCTGCCTGACAGTAACATTATAAGGACCTTATTAAGAATATAAATGCATCTTTTAGATGTTCTTGAATAAAATATAATGAATTCTACTAACAGGAACTGAAGGCTTCTCTGTAACAATATGCCTTTCAGTGCATCAGCATTAGCTTTAAAATGAGGGTATCTTTTGATTAGAATATTAAAATGTTCTGTAGAAATCCCTGCAAAGTCTGAAAAGGGCTAATAAAACACTTTGCATTACCTTAAGACAATAAAGAAAAAGATGAAACACTGTAATCTGATGTTCAGTTGTTTTTCTCCCATAAAACATTATCAGAATTGGAGGCCACTAAGTAAGAGGTTTCAAATCTGAACACAGAAGTGTTTACAGTTTTTATGGGAAACACTGTAAATAAATAAATAAAACAAATAGACAAAACTTAGCTGCTACACTGATATTTTATAATTTTATGACTTTTCTACATTCTTCCTGACAGTACAACCGATTTAGTTCAGGAACCTTCTGGAAATATATCAGTGTGTCAATAGAAGAATTCGGATAAATCACAGTAGGAGAAAGAAGATCAGTTCAATTCTATCCATGTAATGATTTTGGATTCTAGAAAAATCTTGCAATTAGTTGATGTGTTTTTAAAATATCCAAATCATAGCCTTATACTTTGGCTGGAATATATTGGGACACTTGCCAAGGATCATATCTTGACAGTGGCAGTCAGCTTCCTTGACCTTTTAACCAAATATTTGTCTTGTTGATTGAATTGAAACCCAACTGAATGCGCCAGTTTATGTTACCTTTTTATGTGTGCAAAAGATTTCAACCAAATTGAAATCAGTGTGATCACATGTATCTGAAGTCTTTGGCTAAGACTTGTACATTCACTGAGGAAACACCCAGACAACCCAGTTCACCTGGTACAAGATTTCCTGTCAGATTCATCACAATCACACAAAGGATTTGGATTTTCATACTCATTGCAGTTAGTCATTACTTCTCACAATTGCATCACTATCTCCTCGTAATGAAACGCCTTAAAACCGCAAAATTAAGATTACAAATCTAACACTTGGTGGGCCATTGCAAAAAAAAAATTATTGCAGCAAAAATTTGTAAATGTCAGAAGTGCGAGAAATGCACCCACCACCCGGCCTTGAGAGTGGCATGTAGCTGCACCAACTGTGTTCAGGACTGCCCTTGACAGACAGCCAATCAGCGTCGGCGCAGTGGACACATACGGTGACGTCGCTTCAACCTGATGTGTGCAAATCAGCGGCGGCCAGCGTGCTGAATGAAACCAATCAGCGTGTTCCAACGAGCAACAGCTCAGCCAATCGCAAGCCTCCACGACGGGAAAGAAGTGACGGCTTATATATGGAGAGACCACATTTCGTCCAGCATTATTCTAGACAAGTAAGGATTTGAAGGAGATACAGTTTGCTCTAAGCGACTCTTACCGGTAGAGGAAACGCAAAGGCCGTTAAATCATTGGTTGTACTTCTGTTAAGGTATGTATAAAGCGTTAATATGAATATGATAATGAAGCATAGCTGTATTTTCCATTTTCTGCTAAATGTTTTATTAAAATAAAACCGGTTAAGCTAAATATTGACAAATAAACCAGCTGAAATGTAACTACACTACTGTCGTCTGAATGAACTGTACAGACTCGGTAACCTAAATATAATAAACAGGATGTAGTTTGGAATGTTCTAGCATGGTGGTTTCCCCCTGCATGGCTGCTAGGCATGGTAGCGTAGTTAGCAAGATACCGGGGAATTGGCGGTGGGGTGGTGGTAATGATGGAATGATTGACTGGTGATCCATCTTATTTTATCGATAATTCATTTTTCCTGTTATATTTATTTGCCAAGACCAGCTTTTAGTCTGCCTGCAAGCTCAGCAAGTGACATTACGCAGTACCGTTAGTTTCTGACCACTGGAACTTGGGAGGCTGAACCCACCTAATATCTTACGTTGTATTTCTTTTCTGCAGATCTGCTTGTAGATTTAAGTACAAACAAGCAAAGATGAAGCTGTTGTGGGTTGTGATGCTGGTGGTCGGCACAGTGTTTGCCGCCGACGATGATGATAAGAAGGACAACGTGGGGACTGTGGTTGGGATTGATCTGGGGACCACATACTCATGGTAACAAGTCACGTTAAAAGCTTTAAATAGTGACATGATACCACTGTGGAATAAAATAGCATTCAGACTAAATTCAAACTGTTTTCTTGCAGTGTTGGAGTGTTCAAGAATGGACGTGTGGAGATTATTGCCAATGACCAGGGAAACCGAATTACCCCCTCCTACGTGGCCTTCACCAGTGAAGGTGAGCGTCTGATCGGTGATGCTGCCAAGAATCAGCTGACCTCTAACCCTGAGAACACAATCTTTGATGCCAAGAGGCTCATTGGTCGCACATGGGGTGACTCATCTGTGCAGCAGGACATCAAGTACTTCCCCTTCAAGGTGAGCTTGTAAACTGAAAGTAAAACTTGTAGTTGCTTGTGCTTTGGGTCATGTTTTAGTGAAATTGTTGTTAAATTAATATTGATGTGTTTTTCTCTGAAGGTTACTGAGAAGAAGAGCAAGCCCCACATCCAGGTTGACATTGGTGGTGGCCAGATGAAGACCTTTGCTCCTGAAGAGGTCTCTGCTATGGTGCTGACTAAGATGAAGGAGACTGCTGAGGCTTACCTGGGCAAGAAGGTACAAAAAGTCAGAGATTGTAAATCAGTGAAAATGCTAATTTTAATTAAATGGTGTATCATCAAATCTAACTTTATCCTTTTTCCTCAGGTCACACATGCTGTGGTCACTGTCCCCGCCTACTTCAACGATGCCCAGCACCAGGCCACTAAGGATGCTGGTACCATTGCTGGTCTGAATGTTATGCGAATCATCAATGAGCCGTAAGCATCCAGTCAAAATGAATTTGCAATTTGAAACTCCAAAGAATATCTCTGCACTCCCTTCTAATAAACTCTCATTGTATTCTTTAGAACTGCTGCTGCTATTGCTTATGGCCTGGACAAGAGGGACGGAGAGAAGAACATTCTTGTGTTCGATCTGGGCGGAGGCACCTTTGATGTCTCTCTTCTGACCATTGACAACGGTGTGTTTGAAGTGGTGGCCACCAACGGTGACACTCATCTGGGAGGAGAGGACTTTGACCAGCGTGTCATGGAGCACTTCATCAAGCTGTACAAGAAGAAGACTGGCAAAGATGTGCGCAAAGACAACCGTGCTGTGCAGAAGCTGCATCGCGAGGTCGAGAAGGCCAAGAGGGCGCTGTCTGCCCAGCACCAAGCCCGCATTGAGATCGAGTCTTTCTTTGAGGGAGAGGACTTCTCTGAGACCCTGACTCGTGCCAAGTTTGAGGAGCTGAACATGGTAAGATATTAATTTGGTTCTCTATAATATTGCGTGTCAATCCCTGTTGGAGAAACTTTTGAC